CTCTCTCTCTCTCTCTCTCTCTCCCTTGTTCTATCTCTCTCTCTCTATCTCTCTCTCTCTCTCTCTCCCTTGTTCTATCTCTCTCTCTCTCTCTTTCTCTCTCTCTCTCTTTCTCTCTCTCTCTCTCTCTCTCTCTCTCTCTATCTCTATCTCTATCTCTCTCTCTATCTCTCTCTCTCTCTCTCTCGGTTTCATTTGTAGCACTGTGTGTTCAGGAACCTCACTGCAGTTGGTACTAATAAATTTCTATATCTTTCTGCTCTTGCTTTTTTGGAAATGCATCGTTTACTGCGGGTAGATAATTTAAATTCCAATGTCAGTGCGTGGCTCCAGTCATTTAGCATTACTTCCGCTTTTTTTTTTTTTTTAGAACGTTTGTTTTGTGCAGATATTCAAAGTTACTTAAGTCTCTACCAATTGTTCTTGATGCCTTTATTATCAACATGTTTATTTTTATGATGTGCTGCCTTCCCAACTTGCTACCAAAGCAAGAGATAACCAAATTTATCTAAGTTTTTATTGTGGTGGTGTAGAATATCTGAAAAATGGATGGATTCAGATTGAAAGACCTAAGTTTCCACAGAAAGTACAGCCTTTGATTTACCTTTTGTAACGATATTGGTTACCTGATTTTGCCAAGTAAATTTGTTGTCGGCCACAGATATAAAGAAAAGAAAGTAAAACCATCCAGTGGCACCCTCCAACCACCCAGCTCACCTTCAAGTATTCTGGGTAATAAGATCTGTCGGCATCCATAAAGATCAGGTCAAAACTTTTTCCCGCCTTCACAGTGTCTTTCATGTAGTCTGAGAGTGAGCCTGGAGAAAGAGAGGACAGAGACAGAGAAAATCGTGACTATTGGAGATGGAGATAAAGAACGTTTTGATCAGTAGAGAGGGAGACTAAAGAACATCTTGACTATTGGAGAAAAAAGAACACATTGGTTAATGGAGAGAAAGAACAGATTGACAAGTGGAAAAAAAAAGAACGTCTTGACTACTGATAAAAAAAGAACATCTTGGCTACTGATAAAAAAGAACATCTTGGCTACTGATAAAAAAGAACATCTTGGCTACTGATAAAAAAAGAACATCTTGGCTACTGATAAAAAAAGAACATCTTGATAGGTGGAGAGAAAAAGAACAACCTAGAACAGCGACGAGGGAGGCAGACATCACAAAGGGGAGCAAAAGAGCTGGACAGACAGACGGACAGACAGACAGACGGACGGACGGACGGACGGACGGACGGACGGACAGACAGACAGACAGACAGACAGACAGACAGACAGACAGACAGACAGACAGACAGAGGTAAAGGAACAAAAGTATGACATACCTTGGTCACCCTCTGAGCACCCACGCTTGTACTAGACACTATTAGCCTGATACCAACAAGTGGCGAAAAAAGTATTCCCCACAGCCGGCTATTTTTGTACCTATCTGTGTACTTCTCTTTAACCCACACAAAATATAACAAACCAAACACACCACTTTCTTGTATATAGTGTATTTTTACACCCCCATCGAGAAAATTTAGATCATTTAAGAGGCAGGCTTCCAACCCTGCCTGTCGGGGCCAACATGGGCCGAAAGGGATATTATAATTATAGCATACCAGCAGAAAGAGCGAAAAAGTCGATAGAAACTCTCCCCATTGTAGAATCGAACTCCTGTCTCCTGTGAGCGACAGCGAAGCGCAAAACAGCTACTACACAACACAGTCGACGGTGAACAAGAGCATACAGTTGGTAACCCCAGAGCCTTTGAACTAACACAAAAAAAAAGAAGACAACGGAAACTCACCGATAAAGATTTGTATTTTCTTGGCATGAGGCGACTCCCGAAGGAGAGATCCGGTAAAGGTCTCCAGATACTTATCAAAATCAAGAGTGACAAGCTCTCCATCAGCTGCAGATAGATACAGAAAAACTTGTCAATACCGTACCTTTTTTGTCAGTTCATGGAAGGCACTTTGCACAAATTCTCCTCACTTCACCCAGGTGGAAATGGGTACCCGGCTATAGACAGTGAACGATCATGTCAGTTTGATAGTATTTGAGCGCGTGAAATCCGCAGCTTGCACTGTATGCTTCCGTGGAAGCTGAGTATGTTTCTGGGTGTTCTCAGAGGGTCTGCTGGGGTAATAATAGTTGTAAAGCGCATAGAGCATGCTCTTGAGCGTGGATATGCGCTATATAAATGCAATTATTATTATTATTATTATTATTATTATTATTATTATTATTATTATTATTATTATTATTATTATTATTATTATTATTATTTTATTATTATAATTATTATTATTATTATTATTATTATGGAAGTCACTGCCACAGATAAAATTAATTTTGCTAGGAAATTTACAGCACTTGCAACACAATTAGATTCTAGGTCTTATAAGTGCCCAAGATTTGATTGTTACAAGAGTAACAAAAGCAAGAAAGAATGAGGGATAAGGACGACAGATGTTTGACAGGAAAGAACAAGCAAACCGCACCAGGTAGCACCCACCAACCACCAAACATTGGTAAGACCTGTTGCATAGGCGGAAAAAAAATCAAAGCAAAGTTAAGCAGTAACTTGTCCGAAAGATTTTCCCGAAAATACTTTTTTTTTTTTTTTTTTGAAACAATACAACAAACAAACAAAGCAACAAAATAAAAACCTCATCAAAAACAAGGGTGAATATAGAATGAGCATGGCATTACAAAATTTCAATCATAAAACATTTGGAGTTGGAACCATACATACCAGGTAGGGCCTCAGCCATGGACAGTGCACTATACCCAGTGAACATGCCGATGTCCAGAACACGCTTTGCCTTCTGAATGCTCACCATAGACTTTAAAAACTGACCTGAGAACAAAATGCACTTTTAAAAATACAGGAAAATATTTTTTGAATTTCAACATTTATTACTAAGCAAACGTAAAAACTATATACAAAATACTACAAAGTAAAAATATGTGCTCTCTCTCTCCCTCTCTCTCCCCCCCCCCCTCTCTCTCTCTCTCTCTCTCTCTCTCTCTCTCTCTCTCTCTCTCTCTATCTATCTATCTTTCTATCTATCTATCTATCTATCTATCTATCTATCTATCTATCATTCCATCTCTATCTCCTCTCTCTCTCTCTCTCTCTCTCTCTCTCTCTCTCTCTCTCTCTCTCTCTCTCTCTCTCTCTCTCTCTCTCTCTCTCTCTCTCTCTCTCTCTCTCTCTCTCTCTCTCTCTCACACACACACACACACACACACACACACACACACACACACACACACACACACACACACACACACACACACACACAATGTTTATTAATATGCTCCCCTTCCCCTTCATCTTACTGTCTCTATCCCCAATCTCATTTGCGCTCTGTCTGTCTGTCTGTCTGTCTGTCTGTCTGTCTGTCTGTCTGTCTGTCTGTCTCTCTGTCTGTCTGTCTGTCTGTCTGTCTGTCTGTCTGTATGTCTGTCTATCTCTCACTCTCTCAATCTCTCTCTCTCTTTTCAACCATCTATTTCGCTCTCTCGCTCTCTCTCTCTCTCTCTCTCTCTCTCTCTCTCTCTCTCTCTCTCTCTCTC